GTTTCTTATGCTCTTAAATGTGATTACATGAAGAAGAAAAAAAAACTTCTGAAAAAAACGTTCTGGGCCTCAGGAGGAAATAAAGATAGGATAGGCTACAATAACAAGTGTGTCTTCTGAGTGACAGTCCACCATCATCAGGCTAAATATAGGCTTTTTAAAGCTACACAAAATGTGTAAATGTTATTGAAATAAACAGACAGCCCACTTCCCTATTTTGCGGATTTTGGAAGATGTGAGCAATACACCGCTAATCCAAATGTCACACATGTAGCCTAGTTATAAACTCTTTAGACTTTTAATGATTAGTGCTTTATTTTGAAAGTTTGAGGGTAAGAATCGTGTAAAAAAAATCCCTTATTTTGTGGATGGATTCCGGTAAATCTCCCTTATTTTCAATGTTCAATGTTGACAGCTAGGCCCTAGCTCCCGAATCGTCCCGCGCGCGAGCTGTTCGTTTAAAAGTCAAACATTTTGACAAAAATAAAAAGCGAGGCAGAATTTAGCCATTGCGCACAGCCCTAATAAAATAAACATAGATAGAGGAAACACTGCATTGTGGAATAACTCCCCAAATTCCCTGAAATATTACCGATAACATGATGAGCTAGCTGCAGGCGTTTCAGCTAACGTTAGCTCCGGCAGTCTGCGGTGGATCTTGTCTTCGACTGGATGAAGATTCAGCAGCTTTGAAATATCCAGTCAATTTAGTAATTTTTTAAAAATATCTTGGTCCCTTTGTTCTCTTTACTTTAATATTTTACATTTCTGTGCTCCACTTTCATGCTTTCTTTCAGCCATTCTGCCTCTGTGCTGTCCAGCAATATAGCAGTGACGTAAATGAAAATGACTGACATGATTTGAGTAGCGCGGGAAGGGGGGTGCTGCAGGGGCTGCAGCAGCAGCAGCCCCCCTCGTCATAGGATCAGCCCCCGTGGACTATAATATAACATTGATTAAATGAATAGCCTATTATATATATATATATATGATACTAAATTTAATGGCTACTATACAGAGAAATTTCATGTCTTGTCATCAGTCAGCCACAACCATTGGGCCACAAGCCACAACATAATGTCATCATATTTTTCATCCCTTAGCCCCCTTTGCATGAAACAGCCTCCAGCGCGCTTGGATTTGACCAGCAGCAGCAGCTGATTGGATAACCAATTCACATCCACCCAGCCCTGAAGACGCCTAGCAATGGTTTAACCTTTAGTTAAATATACCTTAAGAGTCTTCGTAGCGATAAGAGACAACGTTAACGGAAACGCAGCCCAGGAATGATGCTTATGCAGCGCCGCTGCTCCCACCACGTGCATCACGCACTGCGTAGGGCACCAAGTGCTGAGGGGGCTCCTAATATAGCCTAATGAAAAATCAATCATCAAACTTCTTGTTATGATCAGATTCAGCACGTTCTTCAACTTCAAATCAAAAGTAGGCAGGCTTTATGTTCACAGACTGAGCGCGAATTTTAACCGAAACTGACCACCCCCCCCAAAAAAATATTTGGGCTGAGTCCCCGGATTAGGGGCAGACGGGGAGAGGACCGTCTCTCGCTGGACAGAAGGGCTGGTCTCGGGCTGGACGGTCTCTGGCGCTGGTTGGACGGTCTCTGGCGCTGGCTGGACGGAATCAGCGGAGAGGAGAGTTCAGGCTCGGGAGGGCTGGATGGAACAAGCGATGAGGAGAGTTCAGGTTTAACGAGGCTGGACGGAACTAGCGGAGAGGAGAGTTCAGACTCGGGAGGGCTGGACGGAACCAGCGATGAGGAGAGTTCAGGTTTAACGAGGCTGGACGGAACTAGCGGAGAGTAGAGTTCAGACTCGGGAGGGCTGGACGGAACCAGCGATGAGGAGAGTTCAGGCTCAGGAGGGCTGGACGGAACCAGCGATGAGGAGAGTTCAGGCTCGGGAGGGCTGGACGGAACCAGCGATGAGGAGAGTTCAGGTTTAACGAGGCTGGACGGAACCAGCGATGAGGAGAGTTCAGGCTCAGGAGGGCTGGACGGAACCAGCGATGAGGAGAGTTCAGGTTTAACGAGGCTGGACGGAACTAGCGGAGAGGAGAGTTCAGACTCGGGAGGGCTGGACGGAACCAGCGATGAGGAGAGTTCAGGCTCAGGAGGGCTGGACGGAACCAGCGATGAGGAGAGTTCAGGCTCGGGAGGGCTGGACGGAACCAGCGATGAGGAGAGTTCAGGTTTAACGAGGCTGGACGGAACTAGCGGAGAGGAGAGTTCAGACTCGGGAGGGCTGGACGGAACCCGCGATGAGGAGAGTTCAGGTTTAACGAGGCTGGACGGAACCAGCGGAGAGGAGAGTTCAGGCTCGGCAGGGCTGACGGTGAGCGCAGGCTCGGCGGGGCTGGCGGTGAGCGCAGGCTCGGCAGGGCTGACGGTGAGCGCAGGCTCGGCGGGGCTGGCGGTGAGCGCAGGCTCAGCGGGGCTGACGGTGAGCGCAGGCTCGGCGGGGCTGACGGTGAGCGCAGGCTCGGCGGGCTGACGGTGAGCGCAGGCTCGGCAGGGCTGGACGGGACCAGCGATGAGGAGGGTTCAAGCTTAATGGGGCTGGATGGAACCAGCGATGAGGAGAGTTCAGGCTCGACGGGGCTGGATGGAACCAGCGATGAGGAGGGCTCTGGCTCGGCAGGGCTGGATGGGACCAGCGGTGAAGAGGGCTTAGAACGGGCAGTACAGACCATGAACGGGGAGCCAAACCATCTTAAGATCGCCTCGAGATACTGTTCGATGGTCTCACCGGGACCTCCGGGTGGAATCAGCGCTTGCAAGGGTGGATCCAACCCACTCCAAAATAGGTCCATCACCTGCTGCTCGGTCAGGGAGGTTCGATGGCTAAACTGAATAAAGTCCTCCATGTAAGATTCAATCTTACGGCCATCTTGGTAGATAGAGCACAACGTTAACCCCGCTTTGTCCATCTCTTGTTTGGTCGATCGTTCTGTCACGGTGCTGGTGGAGTGTTGGCTGAAGAAGGAGACCGAAGAGGCAAATGCTCCAATTCAAACACTTTACTTAAACTCAAAACATCAAACAGGTACGGGTACAGGCAGGAAGGCAGGAAGGCAGGAAGACAGGTAGAAACACTCTCTGACGCAAAGTAACATAGACAACGATCGACAAGGACTGAATGGAACAGAGGGAACTAAATACACAGATGAATCAAACATAATGATGTGAAGACAGGTGAAAATGATGAACAAGACGAGGAACAGGTGGCTGATGAGGGAGTGAGTTCGGGATAGGGTGACGAGAGGATCCTGGGAAGTGTAGTGCTGATGACAAGACAGACTGGTGCAGACGACGGACTGTGACACTCGGATGGAATTTGGTGTAAAAACGAAATTGGTCATCCGATTACAGTATCGGCTGAAGAGAGTCGGGGGTGGTAGGTCAGTGTTATGCAACCTGGCTTCCAAGTCATGGATGTAATCCAAAGCCTCATCCAGAGCACCTGTAAAGATAAAGAAATTAAAAACCATGTTACCTTATGCAACACAACACAGAACAGTAATTATGTCAACTCTTAAATGACATCACTGCAAAAAGAATGTCATTCAGAGCCCCCTAAAGCTAGACAGCATGAGACTGTTACAGATGTAGGCTAACGTTAGTTAAATAAAAATGTGTGTGTGTGTGTGTGTTTGTAATGTAGAGAGAGAAACTCAACAGCAAATAACAAATGCATTCACTGTGTGCACCAGTGGAGTTTTGCTGGGATGCAATGGAGAAAATCTGTTACTGCACCCAAACAAACATAATTACCGCTATCAAAGATATCAACCTCAAATTTGGAGCACAACTTATTTAGATTTATGGCTTTGATTTTCTAGATGTTTTAGAGCTCAACTTGGTTTTATATATTTTATATAAAATAATGTTCATAAACTCAAACCTATAAAACTTTTTTGGATTTACTTATTCATTTTAATTAATTTCCAATAATCTGCCAAGGGTCTTCTTTAAAATAAGACCAAACTTAAGTCTGTGCTCCAAATTTAAAATAAAAAAAATAAAAAATTTTGTCCTCTATGTCCCTGTGTAACTTTTTTTTTAGTGATGCACAAGGGTTAAGTTATTCAGTTAAAAATGTATTTATCCATTAATGGTACACATAGTTGACTAGTGTTAACTTACTAAACACATTATGAACAATCTTACCTGCAGGTGGGTGTGTCACGTAGTCGTGATCCATCCTTACTGCCTTTGCCACCATGGTGCTATCTTCACAGCATAGCTGGGTAACGTTACTAGACTTACTAGACTTTTACTTCTCAAAGGAGCAGTAAAATTGTTCCAAGGGAACAGGCTCGGGAACGACGAACGACGCAGCCACCAACGTAATCCTCCGGAGCGAAGTGCCGGCTGCAGACATAAGTGCTACCTCTTTTAACGTCGAAACTGTTCCCTTCATCTCTTCGGATCGCCTGTATCCACTTGGGTTTCAGGTTTGGATTGACAGGAAAAGAATGAAACGAAAGGTATGGCTGTTTTTGGGTGGAAGACGAACAGCCAGGAACACAACAGAAGCTGCGACTCTTCGACTCTGCCATGTTTTTTATCTGCCGCTACGATAACAGGAAGTTCTAATACACTTCAATGACTTATTTCCGGTCGAAAAATTCGGAAGTGCGTAAAAGGTCTATTATGCAGAAATCATTCTCAAAATATCCCTTAAGGCGAAAATACTACAGTAAAAGTATAAGTATAATGTTGACTTTCGTTCATTAGAGGAGCTAAGTGTCATGTAATCTGCCCAGCAACCGGCTCGGTCCTCACAGCACCGCCAACTTCACCAGTTCAGTGAGTGTCGTGTGTGAGAACATTTGAGCTGATAGTGTGGCTGTATACACCCCTCTAAGTGTCAGCAGAAATCAGGGTCCTCACAACATGCTAGGTCATGGTCCTCTCAAGGATAGCTAAACACGTATGTGTGTGTCTGTGCGCGCATGTTTTCACTGGCTGAGGCTGTTGAACCGGTCTGATCAGTATCGCCTGCAAGTGGATAAGACGATACTGTTGAATAAACAGATCAGACAGACAGGAAAAAGAGCAAAAGGGAGCAAATACTGAAAGAGAAAGGGAAAGAGAAAACAACTCAGAAGAAAATATGGATCTGAGTGCGTACAGACTGGCATAAGGAAGCATGCAACAAGGATAGCAGAGAAAGAAAGACAGGGTGAAAGTCTAGAGTTATGACAGAGCTATAAAGACAATCACATGTAACTTGTATTTAAATCTATGGAGGAATCAGTCTAATGAGGTCTGCATGGATATGTTTGTCTCAGAACGCACACATACTGTATCTTATCTTCTGTCTCTACCATTACAGTAAGTATGTGTGTCTTCTTATGTGTTCGTTTAGCTATAGATATTGCAAAGAGACAATTGCTGAATTACACCAAGGATTACAACAAACGTCTTACTCTGTGACCCCTTAAGTGCCATTTGTCTTCAGAGGGCACTGGTCAGATATTTTCTCTTTAACCAGTCTTACAATATGCTTTGGGAACAAAGTGTTTAATTAGTGTAATCATTATAATGCACATTATATAGAAAAGAATAGACTATATTATGTCCTCTAGATAAACATTTATGGACAGATGTAGGCCTATATTTTATGATTCCAGAAGAGGTGAATGCATGTTAAGATTTATAATAGCATGATTATATTGCTTTTGTTTGAACCGTTCAGGTATTTTTGCTATGCATTTGTTCAAACAAATCTTTTTAACATTTAACACAGAGTTTATCCACAATCCTGCACAATTGCTAATAACATGTAACAATCCTGTCTAAAACTGGCAATGTAATATTTAGCATTTGTAATTCACACTGTATAACAAGCCTAGATGTTGCTTTTCAGCTGAACATTGCTAAAAACAAACACCTGCCACGTAGGAAACTTGCAGTTGAGCTGAATACCGAAGGACAGGATTCTGGTGTGGAGTGAATGAGTCAGGCTAGCCAATCCTGTTTACAAACCCATTCTTCACTTTCCTGTCACTTCAGATTCTTTACTTCACAGCTTATTTACTTTACTTAAGACACTGTTTCAGAGTTTCACCTGGAAATGTGTAGGAGCAGGAATGGACAGTGTAGACGCAGCGAAATAACATGGCAGTTGCTAAGTTTGGATTGGACAGTAATGTTTTAAAGCGGGTCATTTTACTAGTGATAAGAGAAAGATTACAGCAGCTTCTTCTAAAAGGATCCTGTTTATCATATCATTGGTAGTGAACTCCACCAACATGCTTTGGTTTGAAGGGGGTGATTATTAACTCACTGAGAAAGGACAGGCACATGAGTGGAGTGGTTTTTGCCCTGAGGAATCCCATTGAGAAGCTAAATCCATCTACAGCCACTGTGTTATATAGACATACTGTTGTCTTGGCAAGTGTTATAAGTCAAGGCACCTTTATTTCTATAGCGCTTTATGCTTTATACTAAACAGATTTATACAATACACCTTCACAGTAATAAAAAAGGAAATACCTGAATTAATTATGCAAACTTATGAAATATGTATAAATTCCTAAATCAAGATGCATTTACTAAAGTAGTAAAAGGCCATAAGATATGTCTTGTTTTGTATGAAAATAAATCAAAATGAAGTGACTCGTTGCTTAAAACAAGCAAAATGATCTGCCATTGTGGTAAGAAAAATTATCTTAATTCAAACAGAAACAAAATAATTTTTCTTTACCCATTGGTAGATAATTTTGCTTGTTTTAAGCAACAAGTCACTTAATTTTGATATATTCCTCTAGAAAACAAGACATAATCTCTAGCTGCTTTTGCATTTCAGATGGGCCTGATCTGGGCCGTGTGCATGTAAATGGACTGACAGGGACACAAGAAAGTATTTTAGCATCCCCAAGAAAAATCACCCACACTTCTCCTCTGTCTACTGTCTCTGAAGCTCAGGCGATCACCATCCAGGTGTCGGGGAACGCCGTCACGGCTCCAGTACAGGGAAGTGCACTGTTCTCCGTGGACATCACGTGCATCGGGACTCCAGCAGTCAGATGGGTGTTCAGTTCTGTGAGCCGACAGCAAAGGATCGCCTCTTGGATCCTCGGCGGCTCTGCCAATGTCACGCAAATGTACAAGGGAAGAGTGCAAACGCATCCCAACGGTTCTCTAACCTTATCCAACTTACGTCTCCAAGACTCCGGCTACTACATCATCACCGTGACAGAAACGTCTGGTAACAGCCAAGACATGGGTCTGGTATTGAGTGTGACTGGTGAGTAGCTTTAAAGTTATTAGTCCTTCAGTTGCATCAGCTTATGCTGTGGTCTGGCATCAGATGCTGATTATCCAGTTGAAATGAACCGTGTTCACTCGTTTTGACCAGTGAATCAATTAAATCGTTAGAAAAGCAATGTGAAAACGTACATAATAATATATACACTCACCTAAAGGATTATTAGGAACACCATACCCAGACAGCAAACTGACATTGAATCAACGTGGAAACGACGTCTCTCATGACATTGAAACAACGTTGATTTTGCTCATCGAATTAACGTTGAACCAACGTCAGACGCGGCATTCTTCAAAGCTAAATGAAAATCGAAAATTGGTTTGCTTTCATAACGTTGAAACAACACGTTGATTTCAAGTTGATTTTCCGTTAGTTTTGAAAGAATGACGCGTCTGACGTTGGTTCAACGTTAATTCGATGAGCAAAACAATGTCAGATCAACGTTGTTTCGATGTCATATTTCCACGTTGATTCAATGTCAGTTTGCTATCTGGGTACTAATATTGGGTTTGACCCCCTTTCGTCTTCAGAACTGCCTTAATTCTACGTGGCATTGATTCAACAAGGTGCTGAAAGCATTCTTTAGAAATGTTGGCCCATATTGATAGGATAGCATCTTGCAGTTGATGGAGATTTGTGGGATGCACATCCAGGGCACGAAGCTCCCGTTCCACCACATCCCAAAGATGCTCTATTGGGTTGAGATCTGGTGACTGTGGCGGCCATTTTAGTACAGTGAACTCATTGTCATGTTCAAGAAACCAATTTGAAATCATTCGAACTTTGTGACATGGTGTATTATCCTGCTGGAAGTAGCCATCAGAGGATGGGGACATGGTGGCCATAAAGGCATGGACATGGTCAGAAACAATGCTTAGGTAGGCTGTGGCATTTAACCCTCTGATGGTCCTCGGTCACTTCTGACCGAATAATTTTCTGTTTTCAATTTTAAAAAATTACAGCTTCATAGGAAGGTTATGATACTTGGTGACTTTTCTGGCATTTGCAGACTGATCTCATGAAATTGCGTGTGTATGACACGCTAATTCGTATTTCCATTTTTGGTGTGCTATCAACACGCATAATCGCTTTTCAGCGTGTTTATGAACGCCGTTGACTTAACGTTACATTACTGTATATATAAATATATGACCTACCCCAACCCCGTCCCTAAACCTACCCGTCACTGGGGTTAATAGCATTTATGAGTCTTCCCCTAGCATCCTAGGAAAAAAATATCGCTCCCCAGATGTAGATCTACATTTTGCTTCGTTTCGCTCGGACATTTAACAGCGTGTACAGACACGCATACACGTGGATAGCTTAACATGCGTATAGATAACACACCACTTGACTTGAAAGTGGCGTGTATGTTTACGCAAAAGTCATGATGTCATGTTGGGCAGTTGGTAGGTGAATACAAAAAAAAAGAGGTCATGATCCGAGCATGCTAAGTGGTCGTAAAAAAATAGTCACACTCGTAGTCTTCGGTCAAAAATGACCGACCCATGGAAAAAAAAATGGGAAATTTACAAAATTGTCTGTACAATCTACAAATCGGCCACTATTCTAAAAGAAAGTACACCGCAGTAAAGGGGTGACACTCTACAACATCAAGAGTGCAAAAAATTCACACCCACCCACCCACACACACACATACAAACAAACTTCTATACATATACACACCAATAAATTCAGATTACAAAAAGTCTGTTTTAAATTTAAAAAAAAAAAAATGTTTGGTCTTCAGTCAAAAATGAACGCACGTATTCTTTGTCTCCCTAATCAAACACACCTGATTCAACTCATTAGCTTATAATCACATGGGTTAATGAGCTGATGAGTTGAATCAGGTGTATTTGATAAGAATATGTGCAGTGTTGGACTCTAAAGAAGACCATCAGAGGGTTAAACGATGCCAATTGGCACTAAGGGGCCTAAAGTGTGCCAAGAAAACATCCCCCACACCATTACACCACCACCACCAGCCTGCACAGTGGTAACAAGGCATGATGGATCCATGTTCTCATTCTGTTTACGCCAAATTCTGACTCTACCATCTGAATGTCTCAACAGAAATCGAGACTCATCACACCAGGCAACATTTTCCCAGTCTTCAACTGTCCAATTTTGGTGAGCTCTAGCAAATTGTAGCCTCTTTTTCCTATTTGTAGTGGAGATGAGTGGTACCCAGTGGGGTCTTCTGCTGTTGTAGTCCATCCGCCTCAAGGTTGTGTGTGTTGTGGCTTCACAAATGCTTTGCTGCATACCTCGGTTGTAACGAGTGGTTATTTCAGTCAAAGTTGCTCTTCTATCAGCTTGAATCAGTCGGCCCATTCTCCTCTGACCTCTAGCATCAACAAGGCATTTCCGCCCACAGGACTGCCGCATACTGGATGTTTTTCCCTTTTCACACCATTCTCTGTAAACCCTAGAAATGGTTGTGCGTGAAAATCCCAGTAACTGAGCAGATTGTGAAATACTCAGACACCAACAACCATGCCACGCTCAAAATTGCTTAAATCACCTTTCTTTCCCATTCTGACATTCAGTTTGGAGTTCAGGAGATTGTCTTGACCAGGACCACACCCCTAAATGCACTGAAGCAACTGCCATGGGATTGGTTGATTAGATAATTGCATTAATAAGAAATTGAACAGGTGATCCTAATAATCCTTTAGGTGAGTGTATAAAAAACATCACTGGTTACTTTCAAAAAGTCATTTGAATATGTAACGCACATTACTCGTTAGCCGAAACTCTGGAATGAATGTTAAATGTCAAAGTCACAGATGTAGTCTACCATGTTAGTAATTCTGCAATGCTCTGGATCATGCAGTCTGGTATATCAGCTTGCACATATTTCAGAGAGTTTGTGATATAAATCAAACATGTCAGCTGGCACAACAGTTTGATATAACTTTCCTTTTTTGCATTGAACAAATGCTGCATGTTTCAGAGGTGCTGCACGAGGACATGCCGTTCTTGGTGGTTTTCGTCATTGCGCTGGCGACCCTGGCTGCTTTCCTAATGCTGTGTATGTGGCTCTGGAATAAACTCTACCGCCTCATACAAGCCTGGGTACAGAGGAGATGCTTACCAGGTAACAAGCTACATTTACTGTAACTTACCTTTAACATGTCAGACCCAAAAATGTGTAAATGTCTTATTCAGTGTATGGTTTGATACCAGAACACAGAAGGCTATGTCTCATGCAAACATTGTTTTCTTCTATTGCAATTTAGTCTTTACAGCAAAAAACACTAATTTTTAATCAGTGAAGCCGTCAATCACTTCAGTTATGTACACGCTTACTGAGTTCTGCTTTCTTGCTATATATTTATCAATGATCTAGAACTGAAGTTAGCTTAATTTTGCAAAGATTAGATGAAGTTTGAAAAAATAGCTTGGCAATGAAATTGAAAATGGCGGCGCATGGCGAACCTGGAATCTCAAAATGAATATAAGTTAATTATAAGCACGAGAATTACCAGCATTTTTGAAAATCTTTAGAAACATTTGTAAAATAATGCATTTTATGACAAATTTATAAATTGCCTACACCCAATAAGCCTTAAAGTGTGTCATTTGATTCCCTAAAAACAATAAAAAGAGACCAGTCTGAAGATTAATATTTGACAGTTTTTATAGTTATATGCAAAATCGGTGATGCTGTGCATTATGTGAATTTAGTTGGCTTACGTGATTTATGTTTAGATAGGTAGATGCTCCTTGGCTTTCACAGTGCATTGTGGGACTTTTTAGGGAGAGAACATTTCAGTGCGCTGAATACTGGACCAGGGAGCTGATCGACACACACACATGGGCTATCCAAACCTTGTATATCTGTTAGCCAGCATCTTCTTGCGATTATGTGAGCCAAATTTGGTGCAGATCCAATGAATGGTAAAGGAATTCATCAGTACATTTTTCATTCAAAGTGACAGAAATTATAGGCAGGCAAAACTGAACAATGGCAAACAAAACAAAATAGAAATTTGTCTCTATGCAATACTGTTCAACAGATATTAGCAACAATTAGTGAAACACTGAGCATAAATAACACTGGGCAATAAATGCCTTCCCAGCTTTGGTGCTCAGACCTTAATAAATCATTTGAGCGTTTGGATTGGGGTGTGAACGTTGTACAGTAGGTATAATAAAAAACGTTTTTGTTTGTAATCTATTTAAAATGATTTTTTTAAATCTCTGTATTTGCCACCTATACCAGTTTATAATATCACTTATTAAGAGCGAATGAGGCACAAACACAATGATATCTCTTCTATTTACAACTGGCAGCCAAAATTATAATAGCAGAAACAGAGGGCTTCACTTTCACCAAATTCCCTCAGCAGAAAATGATGTACATCCAGGGAATGTTGTGTTTGCTGGGTAGATGGGTAATGAAGCGATTTGCAGATCTGATTGGTTGAATAGATCACGGAGCAGTGGTTCTCATCACAAGATAACTTCAAATTGTTTAAACTAACAGACTGATCTCATGAAGTAGCATGTGTATGACACGCCAATTCGGATTTCCATTTTTGGTGTGCTATCAAGACGCATAATCGCCTTTCAGCGTGTTTATGAATGCCGTTGACTTAACGTTATTACTGTATATATAAATATATGACTTACCTCAACCCCGTCCCTAAACCTACCCGTCACTGGGGTTAATGGCATTTATGACTGTTCCCTTACCATCCTAGGAAAGAAAAAGATATGACTTACCTCAACCCCGTCCCTAAACCTAACCGTCACTGGGGTTAATGGCATTCATGACTGTTCCCCTACCATCCTAGGAAAGAAAAAGATCGCTCCCCAGATGTAGATGTACTTTTTGCTTCGTTTCGCCCGGACATTTGACGGCGTGTACAGACACGCGGAATCACTCGGACGTTAATGGCGTAGACATACACGCATACACGCAGATAGCTCAAAATGCGTAGAGATATATTTACGCTAAAGTCATGATGTCATGTTGCAACTAAATTTCTTTTTTTTTATTATTACTTTTTCAATGAATATACACCTTACTGTGGGACCTTGAAGTGAAAAATAAACTAATAGTGCCAATAGTAACATGCTAACAAGTGGATAAATGTATTATATTTCATTCACGTCTGAGGCATTGGATTATATAGGACGGAAGAGAAAATGATCAGATAACTTGTTTCTATTAGAAAGACTGTTTATGAATGGTTATCAACCAATATTGCGGTTTACATATTTTCTGTGAGATGTAATATTGAATGGATCTGAAATGAACCTGTTTTGTGTTGTGCACACAGAGCACACGGAGACCGAACTACAGCCACTGTGACGAAAACACACTCGCTTATTAACGTGTGTGAGATGAAGAGGACGAGCCGAGTGAAGAACTTCACATCCGCTACAACTAGAGTCCTCCTCTAAAGACCCAGATGATTGTTCAGTCGGTGTGGCTGATCTCCAAAGCCTGGTCCAGAAATAGAACATTACTCATATTTATATATATACTGTATATATATATATATATATATATATATATAGTGTTCACACCACTCAATTTATTTCTGCCTTATGTTAATATTTTCACATCAATCTACACACCATACACCATAATGACAAAGAAAAAGAACAGATGTGACAGCTTTGCAAATTTTATTAAAAATAAAAAACTGAAATCGCTTTGGATAAATGCATCTGCTAAATGACGAAATGTGAAATATTTACATGGCATAAGTATTCATACCCTTTTCTGGGACACTTGAAACTTAGCTCAATTTCACTTGTAGATGTTACAACACTTCGATTGGAGTTAAAGGGATAGTTCAAATTGAAATTAATTTTTGGTATGTTTTATCTTACCTCAAGGGTATCCGAGATGTAGGTGTCTTTGTTTCCACAGTATTTTCAATTTTGATATTTTTAGGTTAAACCTTTCATGTCTATCAGTCATATATGTGCCCTGTGGTTACAAGAGGTAAAAACTATATAAATACGGTTTGTTTTCTCACACAAACCGCTCGTTTCGTGTCTTAGGCCATCAATGTGTACTTACATTCACGAGTCATTAAATCATGTTTAATTTGGACTTCTCTGTGCATGCTCTTTGAGGTGGACCCCCTAAACCTCCATTATATGACTTACAGACAAGAACGGTTTGACCTAAAAATATCCAAATTGCAAATACTGTGGAAACAAAGACACCTACATCTTGGATGCCCTTGAGGTAAGATAAAACATATCAACAGTAAAGTGTTGACTGAGACTCAGACTGGGGCGAGAGTTGCCCTTCCAGCAGGACCATGAGCCTGAGAACACAGCCAAGACAATGCAAGAGTGGCACACAGACTCTGGAGAAACATGAAACCGCCTGTCCACATCCACCCTGAGAGAGCTTGAGAGGACCTGAGGAGAGTTACCAAATGCAGATGTGCAAAGCTTGTCGCATCATCATACCCAAAAGTGGTATGATGGCGATGGGCCTCTTTTCCCACTTGAGGCTTAAGGGTTTAAATACTTATGCAATGTAATTAATTAAAGGAGCTGTATGCAAGATTGTGGCAAAAACTGGTGCAATCACTTTGAAATTAGGGTGTATCCCCTAATTTCCCCTGTGTCCCAGCAGGAATGTACTGCTACATAAAGCTGCTACAAGAAGCTTGCAATGGCAAGTCCTACACAGTGAGTTTTTTGCTGTTAATTATTTATTTTGGACTTTGTAAGAAAGTATTTCAGATTCATATCGAGTTTTTTGGGGTTTCGCAACGCTAGAATTTTTTTTTATCCGATTCTGACACGTTTGTATCTGCAGCTGTGGTAACGAGAAGAGCTGGCAACCCGAATGCCGCAAAACTAACTGACTCTGTGATTGGTAGATCGGTGGAGGGCGGAGCATCAGAACAAAACACAACATGACATCAACATAAAATGACAATAAAAAGGATATTGTTAATGACAATATCCTTGCCGGATTTCTGTTGTCAGCGATATAAGTATTTGAAATGAACATGATTTGTTAATGTCTAGTGACATATCAGGGAAAATTTATGATTAATTGAAATAAATTTCTTTACTTTTCTTCTTTCTAAGGTTTTTACCTTTTTAAGGTAAAGGATTTTTCAGGTTTTTTTGCTGTCATTATGGAGTTTGGAGTGTAGATTCATGTGAAAAGAAAACGTGTTTGTGTGCATATATATATATATATATATATATATATATACATACACACACTACCGGTCAAAAGTTTTAGATGGTCAAAATGTTTTTAAAAGAAGTCTCTTCTGCTCACCAAGGCTGCAATTATTTGACAAAAAACAAACAAACAAACAAAAAAAAACCAGTAATATTGTGAAATATTATTACAATTTAAAACAGCGGTTTTCTATGTGAATATATAGTGAAGTGTAATTTATTCCTGTGATCAAAGCTGAATTTACAGCATCATTACTCCAGTCTTCAGTGTCACATGATCCTACAAAAATTATTATAATATGATGCTCAAGAAACATTTATGATTATTATCCATGTTGACCAAAAGAACAGAATTATTAGAATGATTTCTGAAGGATCATGTGACACTGAAACTTGATGAGTAATCAGCAACAGTAATGATGTTGAAAATTCGGCTTTCAAATTACATTTTAAAATATATTACAATAGAAAAGTCATTTTAAATTGTCATAATATTTCACAATATTAATGTTTATCTTTTTTTTTTAATCAAATAAAACAGCCTTGGTGAGCAGAAGAGACTTCATTCAAAAACATAAAAAATCGTACTGATCTAAAACTTTTGACCGGTAGTGTGTATATATGTTTTTAACAATTATTTAACATTGCAAGTGCAAATTGCCATCTGTGTGTCAGGTACCAATCCTGACAGATTTACTCCGTTATAAGTTGTGCGTAAATGTCAAATAGATTTGAATGTGGCACAATGTGATGATTACCATTTAACAACATCCAGATTTTGGGCCAAACCAGGCCTGACCGCTTTAAAATAAACATCTTTGCATAATGATGATTTCCTGCACTGGTTACACTCATTAAATGTGGAGTTTTGCTTGATCTTTTATTTGTCTAATGTGATCTATATCTTCCTGTGTACAGTTGAATCACTCTGCTTGTACAAATAGGTAATAACAGCATAAGAAAAATGCGTAGCTTTAAGAACAAATGTTTTATTTCGTTTTATTTCATGTGTTTTGGCCATCGTTGGCCTTTTCTTAGAAAAACGTCTTGTCAACTCCATTCTTGAAGCTCAAGAGCACTTCAGGAGTCATTTACAGATGAGATCTCACAGGGTGAGCGATCGGGGAGAGGTGTGTGAGAAGCGGCGGCAGCGAGCGCTGGGCTTCAGGGACACGGCGTCAGTGCGGCCATTAGCAGCTCCATTTTGTAGACGAAGTTTCTCCCCTCCATGCGGCCCCAGTGCACCTCCTTGTACGGACCCCTCAGGTGGGTCCACTTGGCGTCCTGCACCACGTCACTCTTGGGCAGCTCTTTGGCCTGACTGCGCGGGAACTGAACCAGCACCTTACAGCCGCTCTCGGGACCGTTGCGCACTGCAGACAGACCGACAGGACACATGAGCTCAGACTCGAGAGATATCAGAGAGTTAAACTTTAACTCCTGCCCTGTTTACACCTGATATTGAGATGCGTTTTAGTCGATCGGATCACAAGTGGACGACAATAAATACAGGTGTAGTTTTGAGTTTGTCCACTTTCACCACTTCCAGATCTAGCAGAAAACACGATCGACCGGACACTAGGCAGAGGGGGTTTAACTGTCGGCTCGAGAACCAAATTTGGCTTTAGGGTAGGGCTGAACGATTAATTGCATTTGCGATAAAAATCGCGATATGATGAAACGCGATTTTGTAATCGCAAGAGCTGCGATTACACTGGTCACTTGACACGCGAGAGAAAAGCAGTCTGCAAGATAAATCATCAACTTGCCACGCTACGCGGTCTGGCGTCCAGAAAAGAACAGTTTATTGTGTTATTTATTCTCTCCTCTCCTCAACAATCCTGGATCGATTCAGAGAATTTCAGAATCGAGTATGAGCTTATAGTTTTTAAACACAGATGCGTGATGACGCTGCGCGTGCTTTAGAAACGAACCGTGTTCTGAATCTGCTTGCTTCTATTTTCTCGCTCTCTCTCTTCCTCACTCACTCACACACACGACACCGCTCGAACCTTACAAAACATAGTAACGTTATTTCATAAAGGTCGGGGTTGAACCGAATTACAAGGACATTCGCGGACTTCATTGAACAGGTTTTGCCGCTTTGCTTGATGTTATAACGTTACACTTGCAGTGCACGTTCTCTCCCGCGGGAATTTTCTTTACAAATGCTTCACAGAGGCATTATTTATGTCTTTTGGAATGCAGTTGGCTTATATTAACACCATGAAAATCACTGAGAAGGCTGCTTTCATTTTAAAATACTAACGCGTGCTTTGTGAAGAACGCTCGTGCATGCGGCCGTGAGCGACTCATTGGAAATGTACCTGCATGTCAAAATGCTTTTATGATGCGAAATTGATGTAAACACGGTCAGTTATATCTTAAAACAACAGGACAAACCACATTTACAATTTCAAAAGAGATATATGCATTAGTGTGAATGCAGCTTATCGTATCTAAACTGAGGGGAAAATCACTCCAGCTCTTGAATGAAAAACATTCAGACAGCCTACTTTTAAATACTGAGACCACTCTTTCTTTATTGCTTGTAATGTTTTTTTTTGTTTCTCTTTATTTACTAGCTTTTATATTTTGAAGCTATATTATTTTATATAGCCTATTTAAAATTCTTAACATGTAATTGGTTTAATTAAATGTTTTTTTATATTTATTTTTTAAAGTATGTGTTTTTACACATGTAATTAAATACATATTTTAAGAGAAAAAAAGTAGATCGGATCATGAGCTATCTAAAGATTCCCATCCCTACTGTACAATGATTTATTGCTTGTCTTTGTCACTAATACAGAAGGTAAATAACTTTTTTTTTTTAAATCGCATATTAAATCGCAATCGCAATATTGGTTAAAAAAAAAAAAAATCGCAATTAGATTATTTTCCAAAATCGTTCAGCCCTACTTTAGGGTGAAAAAAGTACCAAGTAATCAGATTCCTGATTTCTCAAGGGGGTCGCACACCGGACGAGAAGCGCAGCGTTGTGCCACGTCTGGGACAACTCCACGTATCGCACACCGGACGCGCACATTCTATTCGCACGAGCTCAATTTTGAATCAACTCCTGGTAGAAGAGCGTTACGATGTGTGGGTTTTAACTTGATTTACTATTTATTTTTTTATGTTCATTGAATAATAGCTCATGTTTATGGAAGCTTGTTTCCGCCACAGAATGAAAAATAAAAAATAATAATAATAATAATTCATCACATTTATATAGCGCCTTTCTCGGCACTCAAAGTGCTTCACATAGAGGGGGGAATCTCCTCAACCACCACCAGTGTGCAGCATCCACCTGGATGATGCGACGGCAGCCATATTGCGCCAGAACACCCACCACACACCAGCTTACTGGTGGAGAGGAGACAGTGATGAAGCCAATTGGTATATATGGGGATGATTAGGAGGCCATGATGGACAGAGGCTACTGGGCAAATTTGGCTTTATTGGCTAAATTTGGGATTTTTAATGACCACAGAGAGTCAGGACCTCGGTTTAACGTCTCATCCGAAGGACGGTGCTCTTTGACAGTATAGTATCCCCATTACTATACTGGGGCGTTAGGACCCACACAGACCACAGGGTGAGCGCCCCCTGCTGGCCACACTAACACCTCTACCAGCAGCAACCTGGCTTTCTCAGAAGGTCTCCCATCCAGGTACTAACCAGG